TGTTTGGTGTTTTTTTAATGGAAAAGTAGAATCTTCAAAGAAGCACAGATTTGTCCTGCTTGGGGGAAAAAATAACGACAAAAACCCCCAAAACAACTTAAACCAAAACCCCCAAACTATAATCTTTAATTAATTATAGTTAGCCTATTTTATGTATTCCAGTAGGCTGAATACAGGGGTGTTTCATTTCATATTCCCTAGGAAATTATGCACTATTAACTCCAACCAGTTAGTTGCAAAGCTTGTAAGAATATGATAGGAAGGAAGGCAGATCAACTAGAATGTTCTTACCTGCATCTCAAGAAAAGCTTTTCTGGTTTTTAGCATGTAGCAAACCTGGAGAAAAATAAAAGAAATTAACAGTATCCACTTGATTATTGTGGTTTATTTGTAGGTGTAGATCATGTAGGGGAGCCTGGGGGGAAAAAAAAAAAAAAAAAGATGACAATGGAATAATTTGTATGCTGTTATCAACCAGTGTCTGTAACCTCCTTTTTGGGGGTGTCAGTGGTGAAGACAGTATTTATTGAATACTGTTCTATATCAGCAATTAATGGCTGAGGCACAGGTGGGAACTGCTGTCAGAATTCACTTAGGACTGCAAATCCTTAGAAAGTTAATTTAGTATTTCAGCTGCTTTAAATGAGCTGAGGAACAGTTTCCTTAGCTTGTTCCACTTTATACACTTCCACTGAAAGAACTGAAGAGGAGGTTTGGTTTTGTTCCTGGGGGAGCCCAGAACAGACAGAATGTACTTATGGATTTGATTCAATATTTGCATTCAGTTAAATTGGGCAGATTCAAACGAGCCACTGCTGCAACCAAAGTGACATACCATGTGTTTTAATACTGGTACCCCTGGCATATAGTAGCTTTATGTTAGTCGAAATGCAATTTACTAGTGCTAGTATGCAGAAAAGTCACATTCAGTCTTTGGGCAAAGCCAGTAAAAAAATCATGACTTGGAAACCAACAAAATGAAGTAAATTAGACAGCATTGCATACTAAAGTGTGCATACTCGTAATTCACACAAACGATATATCCCCTGCTGGGCAGCAAGGCAAGCGATACCCTTATAGTATGGGGTAACAGTGAACAGCCCTAGGCAGTCAAGTGGGTTGTAAAGATTTATATTAAGAAAATGTACACCCAAACGTACTAGTGGACTTCCTTTCATATCTTAAAAACTTTGAGTGTCTTTGATGTGATGCAGTCAAAAAGGGTTCACCAGGCTTATCTGGGAGCAGAAAAGGGCTAAGTACTTAGGTAACAAAGCAGAAATTTTCAGAAACCAGGGAACATGCCCTGCCCAAAGCCCCACTGCCCATTACCAAGCCCTGGATATGCTCTACTGTATTTCTACTGAGGCTGAGTGCTGTGAGATTGGCATTGTAAGCTGGTGTAGAGAGCTAGAATGACATTCTTGCTACCCAATCATTTTTGTATTTGCTTTGTCATGAATTAAACGGTTTCAAAGGTTCAGGTGAAAGCTGATGCATGTGTTAAATGAATTCCCATACGTTAAAGCCATAGCTAGCAGCCTTCTGATAAGAGGCAATCCACAGTCATGACACTAACCCTAGTTCCCAAAGATCAGCAATGAATGCAGAGCAAAAGAGGCCCAAAGGTCATGACCAAGAGATGACGACAATACCTTTTAGGGATGCCCCGAAGAAGACCACTACCAATACCCACTGTTTTAAAAGATATAGGAAACTGTGCTTAAAGGCAGGACAGCTGGAGTGTGATAGAGGTGTGGAGAGGAGAGGTGGTTGAATAACTCAGCGATAAAGAAAGCTGGGAGTTTAGGGCAGGTGGGAGGGGAGTCTGATGGATGCAGATGAGGTGTAGTCAGCTGAAGAAATAAAAGACTGAACAAGAAGGCATAAGGAAATGGATGTGGCCTTACCCTTTCACACTAGGAGCAGTAGAATAAAGACCTTGCCTTCTAATCAACTCAGAAAAGTAGCATTTCTAACATCTGGATCTAGCTGTTACTTTGAAAACTTTGGATTCTGCTGGTAGAACTTCTTTGCCCAGCAATGGTAAGTTCTGTATTTGTTAAGAATTAATGGCTTTGTTTTTTTCTCTGTCTTAGCATAAGGAATCTACATAGGGTAAATAAGTTAACTTAGAAGAGTTGAGTCTGAGGAGATTTCTATCAATTTGTATTACTTGTTGACGCTGTCAGAATTGCGTTTCTTGTAAAAGATGGATGTGTAGTTTCTGTCATGCTTTCTTCAAAGATTGGAAGATTTATTTACAGGAATAGCTTTTGTGAATATTAGAAGTTCAGGGGTCATGGCTGCACTAACATTTATAGAGGGTATATAAGAAAGAGATGTGGGCATACAAAAAAAATGAAAATGAAGAAAGTAAGAACTAGCCCACATATTACTGATGATTAACAGTAGATCACAAACTATTACTACATATTCATCCATTATACCGTGCTATAGAGTAAAGAGAAGGCAAATGGGGCATACAAACAGCAGCAGACTACAAGGTGTCTAATTCCTCCTATTACTCAGTACCACAAGGTGTTGCTGGTTCAGATCTTGATCTATTACGACAGTACCATGTTGTTTCCTGGGACACCACCTCCCAGGGAAGGTGTTTCTATTTTTATCTAGACAGCAACAGTAACTGTCAGCCTCTCCAGGACAGATGCCATGTGAACTGTCACGGTACAGGAAAAGGGGGCTCACAACAGTGCTCTGGCTGATGGGGCATGCGGTTGCAAACTCAGTCGCTTGCAGGCAAGGAGAAGGACCTTCAAAAAAACCTCCTGTCTGCCTTAATGTGCTGGGTTTTGTTTTGTTGTTCCCCCTTGAATGCTCAGGAATACTTGTGTAGTTTTCAGTGAGTTCTAGCGACTGGAAGTTGCAGTAGAAGGAATATAAAACCTAGAAGGCTCTTGAAATAACCCAGCAAAAGCTACTGCATGGACACAAGTCACAGGTGGCATGCTAATAGTTATCATAACATGACCTTTCTGAAATTTGAAGCCACCATTCTGGTTTGGTAGCAGAAATCTGATTATCTTCCAGGTAATTAGGGGGAGGTTTCCCAACCTCTTTAGGTGATGCTAAAAGAATACTTCTGTACAGGCGCAGTCTTAGCTATAGCTGCAGGTGTGCTTATTCCTTTTCCTTCTGAACTCAGATTCTACAAGGAAAAAAGGGAAAGTCACCTCATTACAAAGAAACCCAGGTGGACAAAACCGTATCAATTGTGGAAAACCACAGCCCAGGAATATAAGGAAGGTTGCTCAGCATGGGAGCAAAAGCTCTTAAGTAATTTTCAGAACCACATCAACACTGAAGCTTGAGATACTTCAGGTGCTGCAGCTTGGCTGCAATCTTTATGCAAACTGAAAGACACTGTGACATGCAAGAGTGAAATAGATGGGTTCCTCTGAATTGTAGAAATGGGGGTGGTGTGGACAGAAATCAATTATTTTCACATATTTTTGATATATTGATATTTGACTCAGTGCTACTTTCTTGACACATTACTCATTTCAGCATTGATAAATGAAGCTTGGAAGTCATATATATATATATATATATATATATATATAAATTCTGTATCTCTCTGGAGCCAGCAAAATCACAAACACATTAATTACAAACACATTTTCAATTACTAAATCTTAATGGAATCCTTAACCTGCTTTGTATTTGGAATTATTCATCATACAGTTGAAAAGCCATATGAGATGTGACAGGAAGCTTACTAGAACACATTAAAATAGTGATGTGAGGATTAGCTGGAAATCTAATGAGAAACCCATACTTCTTGACAGATTTGTGGGGCTAGTGCTGATTTCTGGGCCTCAGAATTGACACCAAACCTCTTCCTTGAACAAGCTTAACTCGTCCTAATAAACCACAGCTTACACTGTCCTAGAGCAGGTTAGTTTTAGCTGCAGTGAATGACTGTCGGGTTTTTGGATGCCAAATTAGGTAATGGGAATGGTCTTTATAATGACTGTGCTCCCTTAAACTAAGGGAAAATGTGCTTAAGTGCAACTGACTGATTCTTGCTCAAATTCACAAAACTTTAAATATTGAATGAGATGTTTGTGAATGCCTTGGGGTCACACAAACTATTCTAAACCAATACATAATTATGACTTACAGTGATTGAATGTTCAAACCTTTCAATTGTAACAAGATGGATGATTCTTCCTTTTAAATTTTCAACCCAATGTCTCTGTTTTCATTTGGAGTGTACTTCTATGGTTCTGGAGAAGATTCCCAGTTCATGAACTTACAGGCACAAGGAGTTTCAAGGCCTAGAAAACTGCCCTTACAAAATGCCTTATTATGCAAGGGCTCTTCTAACAATGAAGGATTATGCAAGGGTCCTTGTTAAAATGTAGAAGATATGGGAGTTCTATGTTCATGGACTGAAACTACATATCTGCTACAAAATTGCACTGCTTTAGCAGCATAGAACCAAACAATTTCTCTCTTAGGAGCTTCCTGCAATGAAGGGCATGATTTAAATGGTAGGCTTTTCAAGAGACATCTCTAAAGTCAAAAGCTGTCTTTAAAACTGAAGGCACAAAAAGAAGTGTCTAAAAGCAGATCTGTTGGCAACTCATTGCAAGCAAAGAGATACTTGATTTGTGGCTGATGTTAAAAAAAAAAGAAAAAAAAAAAACAACAAAACTTTTAAAATTTTCCTTTTTATAAGAGCTCATTAGCTTACTTACTTAGACTGAACCGTTCCTTTGAACGTTCTTTTAATATGTAATTATAATTGCTCAAGTGAAGTGTAAAATGAACCTGGAGTTGAATCAGAGTATTAAAGTCTAGCTAAATGTCTTGCCACCTTTCATATTCTCTCATATATACTTTTCAATAACAAGAAAAAGGAAAAAACTCAACGGAATCCATGTCCTACATATACACTACTTAGAGCACTGTTTTGTGTAGGGAGCACTGCAGAGCTTTGCCTTATGGTAGTCACCAGCAGACAAGGACAGATGCAGATTTATAAAGCTTTTATTTATTATTCATTTTTTTTCAAAGTAATAGAATTAGAAAGTTTCTGGAGAAGCATGTGGTTTGACAAAACACTGAAGATTTATGAAATACTCATTCAGTACCAAAGAAAAAAGGTAATGGGTGGGAGAAGTTACACAGAAGTATTTTTCTTCATATTTTTCCCATTGGCAACCTAGATGGGAGAAACAAAGAGGATTATTTTGTGAAATGGTAGCATACTAGCAGTATTTCAACTCTCTGTATCTATGTAATGGCAGATGGTAAACCACCCATTAGAAAAAGCAGATGTCTGGTGGTTAAAGGGAAACTAGATGCTTTTTTGAGTTCAAGGAGTTAAACAGGTGAAAGGGTGGGCAGAGAGGGGTAGGTAGATAGATGATCCAATATATATGTAATACTGATGTTACCTACCACCTGTTAAGCACCAATTCCCAATGTGGCTCTGCTCTGGACTATTAGGTTTGCACCCTAGAAAAAGGAATACAAACAGTTGTGAGAGAGAAACCAAGGGAGCAAGGTAGTTCTTGAGCAGAAACTTTTATAAATTTGTGTCTGCATTATGGTTCGGAGGATAATTCTAATGGTACTTCCTAACGTTACAATCTGTGTGCTCCTGTATGTTGGGTATTTTTCAATTTTGCAAAAGTAGAAAATAAATTTTTACAGTGAACTAGAGACAAAATAATTATTTCCTAAGTCTTCCTAATACATTTACCTATGCAATACTTTAGTCATAAATAAAAAAAGGATTCAATCAATATGCACTTTAAGATATTAGTAGTACAGTTCTATGCTTCAAACAATAATAATATTGCTTGTGGAAACAGTCATTTATACTTCCTGTAAATGCTTTGCTCTTGCTTAGCAATATGGCTACAGATAAACATCTCCTGTGGTCATTTTGGAGAGAAGTAAATGTTGAATGGATTAACGTATTTGTGCTGATGAGTTTGGAAAAACTGGAACAACTGTTCATAGGACATAATCAGCTGGACTCCCCCTGTCAATCTGTTTGTATTCGCTAGGTGTCTCTGATAATTAATTCAGATGCACTTACTGGTAATCCTTCAGAGTTCTGTAAGAATCTGTAGCACAAAAGGAAACCTACATATGCCTGAGATATAGTTTAAATTCTACACATACATATTTTTCAACTATGGCTTGTAGATATTCAACTCTTCTGGACAAGGCTCTGAAGAACCTTATCAAATTTAGAATTTAGCCATGCTTTGAGCAGATGACTGGACTACATTACCTCCAGACAACCTTTCCACATGAAATTGTTCAATGACTGTAACTTGTGACTATAATCTGTACAGTCAAGATAGATGTTATACTCCGCAGGCAAATTTATTGTAAGGGCACACAGACAAGTAATCATAGCAGTTTGCAGAACCACTTTCGTAGTGCATGGTTTCCTAGTGAGTTGCCAGTTTCCTGTGTATGATTGAGGGTTTTTTAAAGGAGATAGGAAATACCTCTTCCCCAAAGCATGTCTCGATATCTGATTGCTTGCAGCACTTGTCTACCATGGCAGTGAAACCATCAGCAATTGTCTTTATTTGTTCTTCTGTCATCTGGGGCTTGCGTTTAATGAGGTTGACAAGCAATCTGAAAACAAAGCCACAATACACAGTTAATGCTGCCTATTGTAGTATGAGTCCTCAATTTAAGATGTGCCATTCTATGCAGGGACAGCTCATTTATGAGGGTGGGTTTTGTCTTGCCTAGAGGGGTCTGTGCCTATTTGTGACTCCAGACTTCCAGTCTACCACAACCATCTGTTTTCTTTTTGTTATCCTGGTTACAGGTGGGAAAAACTTATAGAAATGATCTCTATGCTGTCTTAATTAAGTACATCTTAAGACTTGCACTGGCAGAGGATCTGCATGAAACTGGTCAGCTGAAACACTGATATTATTTGAAGAAAATACCTTATTTTGCATCTTCCAAACTACATGATATTATGCGCTGACAAGCTCAGTGCAAACACATAGTTCCGTCTGTCCATTCTTTCAATTGTTAATCAAGTCCCAGTCAGATGACAAATCAGAGGGTTTGTAGCTGCCTTCTGCACCCACCCACACACCCCCACCCCCCTTAGACTGTTAGACTTCAGAAGTTTTTCTACAAGGTATTTCTTTTAGCTTACTTCATATGCCCCAAGTCCCGTTCAGCAGGAGAAGCAGTGCACAGTTTTTCATCAAAGCTGAACATCTCAGGGTCAAATGCTGGAGGCACATATTTGGTATCTACTTCCATGGCAGTGAAACATGGTCTCCTGTAAGCGTAGGAGTCGCTGCAGCAATGTGAAACATTGTCATTTATAGGTGTGGTCTCCTGTCTCCTGCACATTTCCTGAATCACAACACTCAGCTGAAAAGAGAAGGAAAGAAGGACAAACATGGGTTATACCTTCTACAGTAACAGAAGAATGTGATGTTCGTGTCACAATAGCATAGCTGGAAGTGGAAGCTGTTGTATCTAAGCACCTTTGTGGAAATGGAATGGTCTTAAAATTTAAAATAAATATGTATTCCTGGAGTTGGGCATTTCTTAACCTACAAACAGTCTGTCCATTGTGCTACAATCAAAAAGTACTTTTTTAGTGACTTCCAAATGCAAGCTGTCACAGACCCAACTGACTTATTTTCTGAGGTAGAGCGAAGTTTAGCTAAAATTTTCAAAAACTACAATCAGACTATTTAGGTTCTCACATCCATTAAAAATGAACAGACTTTGAATTCATTTAGTTAGATGCTCAGCTTGGGGTTTATCATTGTGAGTTTACTATCTCACCAGAATTCAACATTTTTTGAGAACAAAAGAAGTCTGCAGGAGGAGTAGAGAGAATAAACAAATGTACTCACATATCCCTCAGAACAAGGTAGGCGTCTGTCTTCAGGAAGCTGGCAGCATTTATTACCAACATTTGTCATTTTCTGTCCAATCTCAAGCAAGGTATCAGTTGATACCTGGGGCATTTTCTTAGTGTAGCGGATCAGAAGTCTGAAAAAATCATATCAAAATGACTGTTTGCTCACGTTTGAAGAATGTTCTACTGAGCTAGACCACTGAAGTGAAAATAGAAGTAAAGACCAAATAAATTTTCCCAAAGCAGCCAGCATCATTGTTTAGCCTCAGGAATATTTATCAGAAAGTACTTACGCTTTAAGAAAGTCATGCTCGCCATGGGTAGTGAGAAGTTCACAGTTTGTCTTTACAACATCCTGAGTTTCTTTGATATGTTTATTCAATTCCTCTTGCTGCAAACAATTACAAATTTATTAGTAACGTTAGAGCAGGACATCCTGGTAATAGTCATACAAACACACCTTTTGACCTCTTCTAAATCATATTAGCTATAAGATACCCATTTTGCAAGGCCAATCACTTCTGTATAGCCTGGATGGTGTAGGGAGGACTTGATTCTTATGCGAGTCCTAACTTTGAACAGAAATTCCATTAAAAAGGCAGCAAGATTTTTGAAATTTAATTTAATTACCCATTGGACTTATTTTCTAGACAATGGGGGGTTTTTTGTTTGCTTGTTTAAATCAGGTGAATATTTTTCAAGTAAAGGACTATCGGTTGTGAGTGGAACATCCTATTCCTATCCTTAAGCTAAAGCTATCAGTGACTCAGTTTGTACTGTGACTTGTGTGTGATTCAGTTTAAGATTAGGAGACCTGAATTTAGGTGTGTCTATGTCAGCTGGACATGCACATTCCCATCATAATCCATGAGAAGCCATACTCAGTATAGGCAGTGGAGCCCATATAATAATTCAGCTAACCAGCTGTTACTCATCTTCCTCAGGACAAGGAGAATCACTTTTGAGGCATCGGGCAGTTGAATGAGACTAGTCTGAAACTTTGTAAGGTGACCTATGAGGTTACTCTGTGGTCTGAGAAAACTATCCTTGTCATGGGTCCTGGACTGCTTCATCTCCCATCAGAACACTAACCCCTGGGATTAGTGTCTCAAAATGCTTTCTGTCTGCTCTTCCATAGGGGCTTCTCAACCCAGTTGTTTTATGATAGGTACTGACCAAGCATTCTAGTTATCTGCAAACAAAGCTTTGCACCTACAGCATTTCCGTAGCACTCAGCAGGGTTGTCTGTTTTGCAGCACTTTTCCAGGAGTGTTTCATATCCCTTAGTAACTCTCAGAATCAGCTGCGTGGAGAACTCAGGGTGTCTTCGTGAGTATTCATAAACAAACCTGGAAGACACACAATTTGACAGAATTAGAGCTCCTGAATAATATGCTGCTTGCTTCATGCACAACACAGTAATTGACAACAACAGTTCCTCAGATGAGATCAAGTAAGGTGGACAATGATCTCGGAATGCTGTTTGCTTGTTTTAGTAGAATTTCTTGGCTGTTCTGTTGTCTGCCAGCAGGGCAAATGTGAGAGGAACAAAATAGCTCCCCAAGACAGAATACTTATGTAGATAAAGTATGTGGGCATGCACAAAGCCCTTGAATAGAAGAAAGTCAGCTTTGATAAGTAGGACAATGCCAAATAGAAAGAGTTACAAAGCATGAATGAGAAATGAGGAGTTCAGCTAGGGTTGAAGCTATGTTAGTTACACTGGACTTCCATGTGGTCACCTCTTTTCTCCACATGCATTTGCAACACCCAAAGGGACAGTTTTTCGAGTGGTTCAAAAGTCTGAAGTCCAGACAAGACTGAGGATCTTTTGCAGGAACGTTCAAATACAAGTATGCAGACTGTTAGCACTACTTACTCTGACAAGAATTCATCATGGCCTGCCTCAAACCTTTTACACACTTCCTTATCTTGTATGTATTTTTCAACGAGTGAAGGGAGGTCTTCAGGTTTGTCATCAAAATCTGCTTCAATAACGCACTGGCTTCGTTCCACAACTGGCTTCTCACAGCAGTGTTTGATTTTACTTGAGAAAACTTCTTGTTTAGAGCACATGTAGGTCATAAGCTCTGCCTGTAAAATTAAAACATGTTATTCGACAAGCTATAATAATTTAAAGAGAGTATAATTCATGTCCTCTCTTTTTTTTCAGACTCCTCCCTTTTTGTTCAGGTCACCTTTTACTTAGCACTTTCCTAATGAAATGCTGTCTCTATACCAAAAGAAATAATGAGAGGGACAAGCATGTCCTGTGCATGTTGAGCACAATGTTCACAGGTGCAGGAGAGAATGTGATTCTCTCTCAAGTCTTGGAAACTTTGGGAAGACAAACTCTGGAAAGCCAAGGAAAGTCACTGAGTGGTCTATCACAAGGCTGCCTGATTGGTCTTGTCAGTCCTGTCAGGTGCCCTGCTCTAATAGAGGACAAAACATGAAAAAACCCAGACCTTCATAAAGCCATCCTTGGACACCAGCTGGTTTTAAAAGTGTGTCTAAGTTCCAGCCAGCCAGACAATGTTTAAACCATGTCACTGTTGCACAGTTTTTCTAATCCTCCTATGCAAGCTGTTCTCTAGAGTTCATTGGCACTACAGGAAAGCTGGGTTAATGGCAGTATGCACAACAGAACAGGGGAAAAAACAGTGACCTTTTTGCTTCTGCTTTCTTTTGCTTTGTTTATGATTGAAGTAAGTAAATACCATCAAACAATCTCCCTGATAAATGTTTTTATTTCAACCAAAGGCACACACTATACTGTACGTAACAGCTCCTTGCCCTCATGATCATAAAGGGCTAGATGTGGAACTCGTCCTAAACCTAGTTCCAGTAACAGTCAGCTGAGCTGGCCATGAGTTTTCAGGGGCCAAGGAACCTTCCAGCAGTGTTGAGTACAGGTTCCCTGACTGTGAATGAAGAGCTGCACAAATTATTGTCTTCCTAAACATTTTTCAAGTATGTAAAGATTTTTGAAAAGTACTTCGCTTACCATGTCATCCATGCACTCTATCATGTCACCTTCACAGCACTCCTTGTAGATATCCTTAGTCTCATGTATAAGTTTAAGAATTTCTGGTAATGGAGCCTTGGGATATTTCTGGCTCAGGCGAGCAAGTTTGCTGGGTGGAAAAGAAGAAAAATACACTTGTTTTAAAGCTCCATATTGAACAAAACCCTTCCAAGTCACTAACACTTATGATACCATAGATCAGCACTGTTTCGAGCAAATATTCAATCATTCTTCTCATCTAATTTTGGTGGCTATAAAAAAAGGGCATCAACACCTGCATCAATAACCTAGTGCTTCTTTAAAATAGACAGAAACACATTTGTGATTCTTCTATCTGAGCTGTCTGTGTAAGAATCACACCCTAGAATTCCCCATTGCTCTTGAGCGACTGTAAACCATCTCTAGATTACTTAGCACAGATGTATATAGTCCTAATTAAACCTTTAAATCAAAGCTGACTATATCTAGTAAGGTAATCATAGTCAATGTTAGTGTATTAGACTAGCTGCAGAATGAAATCAGTTCTTATGCTTAGGCAGGTGATCCACATATTAATTGCAAAAGTCTTTCTTAATCTTAAAAATGCACTTTTGACAACTGTGATTCTGCCATATTTGACTCTTTGATGGCTTTAAGGTTCAGACTAGCAACTTAATTTGCTGATTACTGATGTGCCTATCGCTAAAAGCTGTAGATATTGAATCGGCACACAGCTTTGACAAAAATGTAGATTAAATGCACTGGAATCCCTCGTTCTGAGTGACACTCCATCAGTTAACTCTGCATCTCCTAGATTGGTTCCAGAGGCGGTGCTCTTCTCTGTCACTCTCATGTCTGATCTTTTTACTAATATTCCCTACCAGCCTGAAATACAGAGGTTCCCTTTGCATCCAGTCTCTATGCAGAAACCTGATCAGAATTAAATTCTACGTTTAAATAAATAGGCTAAGAAATCACCGTCGGCCTAGTGTTGAAGGACTGACCCACTGATCTCTATTCTGCTGGACAGTGATCCTCAGTCAGAAGCATGCTAGGAAGTACCATGAATGCAGTTTTTCAATCTCAGCATACTGAAATGAATTGTATATGCTCATGTTTTCCTCTTGAATAGTTTCAAGTTTAGGTTAACAAGCCTACTTTTTATAAAAAACTGATTGGAACTTACTTTGCTTGGAAAGTTCTCTCACCAAAAGTCTTGAGGATTCCACAAGAATACTGCTGCATCATGCTTACTTTCATGGCTTTTTCTTTTATGACAATTGCCTATAGTAACAGGATGCACATTGTCAAATTAAATTCATTACATCTAATGGATGGAGAAAAAAAGCAAATCTGAAAATCCCACTTCAGAAACACAGCAGGTTCTGGTCCAGTTAGCTCTGACAACATGCAAAGTCCACTGAGAACTTCTTAGGCAGTTCTAAGCAGTTTGCAGTCAGCATACACTTCTAGTCTATACACTTTATCTTATACTGTGCAATTTTTCTACGGACACGCTGCTGTTCACCAATTGGCTCATGCCATTCTCAAACATAACATGAAATATTTGTTACATTTCTCTAATATGCAAGGCTATGTGGAAGTCATCTGCTGTTGATTCACAGGGCTAACACATGATTAATCCTGACACTTCTCTACAAGTTCCTCATACAAAGATTTGTGTGAACAGGAAGATTCAACCTGCTTCTCACTCTTTCTCCTCCATTTGCTTGGGCAACAAAGAGGGGAAGGGTCAGAGAGACCTCTCATACACCTACACGTTGGATGTGGGGATGGCATATTAGGCTACCAAGTGAGATCTGTCTTGCCCTAGTGCCTCTTTGGTAGCGTGGCTTCCCACTACAGTTTACCACAGATGAAAAATCACAAGTGCTACACGTTATTTGGATTCAGCACAGCTGTGCAATACTCACAGCTGCCTGATAGTCTATTAACAAAGGGACAAAAAGACAGGCTTCATAACCTACAGTTTGATTCTCTTATTTTTTCACTTGAAAAAAAAATCAAAATATGATTTTTTTTACCATCTCAGTTTCCATGAAGCCGTATACAAATGTTTACTATAAATCACCACAGGAAATTTTTTTTGAAATATAAACTGTAATTTAACATGAGCCTTTTAAAGTGACTTCTCACGTTAAAAAGAATCGCTGCTCAGAGCGCTTTATGTAGCAGACCAGTTGTTTAGTTTTCATCCACAGTGAAAATTTTTATATACCTTTTCATCCAAGCAAGCACCAACATCACTCTCTTTGCAACAGGTCTGAAGTGCATGTTCATAATCAGCAGCCAGACTGAGGATTGTTGGGGCGTACAAGAAGGGGTTTCTTCTTCCAATAGAATAGACAAAACTATAAGGAATAGGAAAACATAAGTTACATATTTCAATGACAACAGCAAATGGCCTTAAATCTCTTACAGTTTCTATAACTCCTATTTCTAGTCTAGAAATGTAATCTACTTTACTGATGTAATGCCTACTAATGGTAAATGCTCTGCTAAATCTCAACTGTTTCCAATGCAGGACTCAATAACAACAATGGAAGGATGAACTCCTTATATTGTCAGCTACTTAGTTTGATGTATTGTTTGATGCTTTTTAAAATGCATTGTCAAATACTTGAAAATTCTGATTCTGAGTGTGAAAAATCAATCTATGGCCAAGATTTTATTGTCAATTTTTATTCTTTTTACTGTTATCTTTCTTCATCCTTTCCAGTTACAATGGGGGTAGTGGGAAGTTGGAGAAAATAAATTATTAAATCAATACTAGAAACTATTTTTTCATAGTTTTTTGGGGAAAAGAGAGTCCCCCAAGATTTATAAAATGTTATCCCTTAAAGACCATTTTTGAATGAAAAAACCTGCTCTAGCTTAGAATGAAAATTGTGATCAGAGATTTCCTTATTTAATGATTGAGCAACTGTTTTATACATGCAGGTATGAGATTAGATACTTGCAACTTTTCCAAATGTCCTGCATGTCCACACACTTTGTATTAGCTTGGGAATCCTTCTTCTTCACAAATACTTAAACAGTACAAAATGGCCATTTTTCTTACTGTCCCAGAAATGACACCCGGTTGTCCTGGTACTCCTTGCATATCACATCAGAAGCTGGTCTTTGGTATGGCTGAACAAAGTCTGGTTGGGGAACTTTAAATGACAGGAAACACTCGTTTCTTTCAGGATCAGTTTTACTGCAGCAGTCAGCCATTGCACCGTATGAGTCGCGGAGCTTTTCTACTTGGCAGATTTCATCCAGGAAAATGGAGGGCTATAGGAGAGATGCAGAGGGTCAGAATTATTGTTTATAGACAATGTAATCTACATTCTATTTATCTGTAAAAGAAAACCCGGACTGAAAAGTAAACACTTTTTTACTGGTTAAGATTTAGACCATAAATCAGAACAATCTATTGTTTTCAACACAATTTCATAAAGTTTTTATTCATGTGGTCCAATACCAAAACTGTTACAATACTTTACTGAAAAAAAATTAATTATAATTGAAAATACTCTGTGCAAGACAGTGATCTTTTTTTACTTATAATCTGACTAAACTGAATTTTCAGTTGAATTGAAGCAGGATTTGATATTCTACTTGATGATTGGCCTGGGAAACCTTTAGGGAGAACTAATTTAGTCATGTTTGGGCTCAGTGATAGAGCTGGGAAGAACACAAGCACCCAACTTTCTGAGGGGCCAGGCTGAACCTGCCAGACATCCAGGGATCTTACATACCTACGGACTTCTTTTGTTGCCTGATCCTAGAGGAGTTTGTATAAAACTTCTTAAACTAAGTACCTTAAATTAGCACACGTACCTTTTTGAGTCACGCCAGTGTGAAAACCCACAACACACTTTGGTCACTTTAATACCCAGAATTACACCTGTATTTTACAGTTGGCGTACTGGTACTAAAGGTTAACATTAATTTTTAGGCAACGCTAAACTTAATGTGCCGAAGTGTGATGTTTGGGCTGCAATACATGGCTCCACAGAACATTTAGGCACTTCTGAAAGGCAGACTTTCAGAACCTGGCAAAAACAAGTTCTTTCTTTCAGCACTAAAATCTGGTCATTGGTCAATGACAACAGCAAACACCTGAAAGGATCAGGTATAAATCCTCAGCAAGGATGATTCTGGTAGCTGCAGAGAATGAGGAGAAACACAATACCAAAGGATTCACTGCCTACCAGTGGTTTTGCACATTCAGGAGCATCCTCATTGGCCACACATTTCTGTGCCAGATCAACAACATCCTTCACCAGCTTAGACAATCCATCATAAGAACATCTCTGGAGATACTGGGAAAATGTGATCATGGCACTGAAATACAAAGCACATTTTGGAATATGGAGATAAGAAACATGACAGTCAATATTTTCGAAGGTGCTTCTAGATTCAAAATTCTTTGTTCAAATGACATGCACAAATGCTTAAACAGAGTACCATGAAGGGCATAGAACTGGATCCCCTATCCTTCCCCATCTCACCTCCTTTCTGAAAAATGTTTATAACTTTACTTTTCAAGAACAAAACTCTTGAATAATAGATTAGAAACAAAACAGAAAAGACCACAATTTGAGTTTTCTGACACTTCATGGCATTCACAAATATGCTGATAAAACTAAGCTGTTTTTTGCCATTGTTACCAATATGATCTTCAGGCTGCCTTCTTTCAAAAGTATTTACGTTTGTGTCAGGGCCCTCTGCCATTCCCAAAACCAGTTTCAAAAAAGAATTGAATTGTCTCAGAGAACCTGCCACAGGTTTGTTTTTTGAGGTTGGTGGGTTTGTTTAGGGTTCTTTATTTATTTATTTATTTATAGTTTCCCTTCTTTGTCCAGTATCAACAGAGATGGAAAACAATCAGAAAATGTAAGCTGAACATTCACTTACACTGCTTTAAATGTTTCTTCCTTCAAATCATTGTAGCGATGGGCAATTTCACTCTTGTGCTCTAGGAAGAAAAATGATGAGAACTATGATGCTTATGGTCATATTGGCTATGCTAGACCCCTTAACGTATACATTCTGGGCACCTTGGGCCAGGTTTTCAGAAGTGTTCAGCATTCACCCAGTTCTTAAGGTAGTAATATAATTGTTTTGAAACAGAGCAGGCTAATGCCGAGCCCTTGTAAAATCCCACTTTTGGGTACACCACCCTGGGTAATCTGTACTGCTTTTTTGGGAACTTCAATCTAAAGTTTTCTTCAGGCCACCTTGAACTCATTGTTGTTTCAGATGACCACTCTTGTCCATTTATCTGCAGATACTTAACTCTTACACACACACATCTTTCTGAAAGAACCCAGTCATGTGATTTTTAGGATTCTAATACAAAGTTACCTCTGTAAGGACATACTTACACAAACATTCAAAATTATTTCTGTAGCTTACTAGTAAGGGTTAGCAAAGATGTCCTCCACATAACCAACAAGAATATCAAGTCTACACTACAAATAAAGGAATGCAGCTGCAGTTTGATTAGAGCGAACATTAGGAGAATTTTCTCTTTTTGATCACAAAATTATTAACTTGGCAGATTCATATTTTTGTTCCACTTGGTGCATATCATCTGTGCTCTTCATGAGAAGGATCCCTTCACTTGGTCTTGATGGTAACAAATACAGGTTGCAATTATACCTCACTCTTGGTGAAAAGACTCCCACAAGATTCTCCTGACAGATACTGAGGCATATGGCCACACTAATGAATGAGCTAGAATGGGGCAGTCATTTTGTTCTAGAAATACCATTCAGGAGCATTTAGAAAACATGAAGTGTAATTCCTTTACCTAACAGAATATACCTGCTGTGATAATAAGAGCTTCCATGCTGAAAATTGTAATTTAAATTTTTTTTTTTACTGCTGTTCACTGACATTTCCAGCCAGCTCCTGAAAACTGGTTTTGTTAAATTTTAGTATTTTCATGTTTCAAACAAAAATCAAAAATGTCAGTGGAAAAATTCTGAGGACTGCCTGCAGAAATATTTGTTTGACCAAGGTCTAAAGTTTTACAGTACAGGTAGAAATGACACAATGGGGAGGTTTTTTTATTAGCCTTCTTACAGCCCACACTGAGATGGAGATTTTTGGATTTTTGACCTGCTTGTGTGAATACTGTTGCCTTTAGCTGGTGAGGAGCTTGTTTATGAACTACTGTTCAAAAGATAGCACTTCCAAAAGCACAGTGCTTCCACTTCCTCCATGCTGGAAAGTAAGATTCTGAATAATCAACATCACCTGTTCATGCACTACACTGATGTTGCAAAGGGATGTCACTGAACTTACTCAGTTAAGTTGTCCTCAGTGTTCTACCCATCTCCTCACAATTTCTTCGTTTAGTTTCTTTTCAAGTGAATTAAATTTTTCTATTCTTTTTAGATCAGGCTTGCAAGAATTGTTCGTGAAATTGCATTAAAGACATGAAATTGATATAACAAAGACTGCAAAGACAACTAATTAGTCCTTTCTTACCTTTGTCTCGAGCAACTCTTTGCAGATTCCAGGATCTGGCAGAACTTAAGAGGAAAATAAATGAAATTAATGATACCCACTTCATGGCTGCAAATTATGATGTGGGCAAAATTGCTCAGAAATGCTAGGACGATTGAAGGGAAAGCATTTGCTTATATACCTTTTACTACCTGTATGTGTAAAATATTAACCATAGAGCTGGCATTTGTAGATTTCCATTTAGTCTGAAGAAGATTACAAAACTTGGTCTGTCCTTGCCAAAAATTAATTTGATATTATTTGTTTATTATGTGTTACTCTAGGCCTTTTTGTCCTGAAAAGGTTGAACCTTCCAGCACCCAACCAGATAAAGTTTTGCGTAAATTTCCTTATCAAATGACAAACAAGGAGTTCAAGGCATCAGACAAAAAAGTCATCAAGTCTAATCCTATAGCCATGGGTTTTTTTGTGTGTGGGTTGTTTTTTTTTTTCTCTAGTATTTGTTCAAAAGCAAAGCAGGTTGGTATTGTACAGTAACAATTCAACCAGATAGGACCCAGTCCACATACTCATTTGTAATGAGAGAATTTTAGTTTTAAATTACTTTGCAAAGATGAGATGGCTCATCTAAACTTTTCTATAAAAAGTACAGACTGCTAAAATACAGCAGCAAGCACAAAGACACAGGTAAACAGCACCTCCAGTTTCAATGGGCTTTCAAATTCTTAAAGAAGCAGAAGGTAAAAGTGGGGAACTGGTACCAAGGAATCTGAAATCTCACACTATATGTAGCTCCAGAGTGTAACAATTTGATGCAGACAATGGGGCTGTATCAGTAGGTTGGAACTGACTCACACTGTGAATTTTGGGACACACACTTAGGGTAACATCCAAGAGGAAGGCTGCTCAAACAACCAAAGAGCTAATTTGAGCACCTGATTTGTTAGGTCCCATTCTGGTTTTCTGTAGATAATGCTGATCATCAGGATCCAGACAATTGCCAGATACACTTGTAAACATCTGAAGGAGCTGTTATTTCATAATTTTTGCAATTCCTCATTTGTGCTGACATCTTCCTAAGAGTAATTTCTTAATTAAGCACTGTTCTCTTTGAAAATTTTCTATTGATTAGTCGATAACTTAGGAAATCAGACACAGTAATAATTGTGACATCTGCACAGAGCCCCAGGACATGGAATAAAATTGAAATTATTTTTCCAGAACATTCAGTGAGAGGCTTAAAAAAAAAATAGCAAGTATGAGGTTGGATCCTTACTGAGTGCAAAGTGATATAGATCCACAGTGGGAAATACTATGACTTTCTTTTAATGAATGTCTCTCTCCAGTGGCTGGATGTCAACCTGCACAACTATTTTCAGTGAGCTGCTGGAGGCCATGCTTTGCCTTGCAACTCATTGCTTCCAGTAGCCAGTACCCACCTGGTCTCACTTAGAGCAAGGTCTTCTAACTGTTCCTTAGTCCTTAAGGTTCCATTTTCTACTCTATTTTGGTTTTTTTGATGTTTGGGTTTTGTTTTTTTTTCCCCTCAGGTAGGCAGTTTTACCACAACTCTGTATTATTCCTAGTGGGAGTAGTATGAGCAATTCAATTTTCAGCTTTCTGGAAATTTGACAAAATTTAAAAAAAAAACAAAAAAACCCCAAAACCACAAAACACCTTTGTTTCTGAACTTGAGTTTTTAAACATGTCCTAAATAAATCAAATGATGTGTCTAAGCATAAAATATTTGCAGGCAATTTTCATTTAGAAAAATGTCAAGGCAATGCATCTTATCTTTCTGAAAGACTATTCTGTTCTTCATGAATAACCACATAAAACTTAGATGAGTTTTCGGAATAGTTTGATACAGCTATCTAGATAACTCTTACATGAAGGATGGAGGGGGAAAGCCAAATTTTCAGAAAAACACCATGGTTTTGTCATAAACTGTGAAATACAGATTATTTTCAGGTGGTTGTAATAAAATCCCAACTTTCTGGAGAATGATGGGAATTATGATGAACTATATGGACTTTTCAGACCTGTCCTGCTTGAGGCTAATGAAATCACAGGAAAGAGCTGGTCAAACACTTCAGTCTGTAACTGGTTTTACTGACCACATTCCTCTGTCAAAGAAGAACCCATCACTAAAACGTGGATCTTTTTGATTAACTTGTAACCTTCAGAATGGCTGAAGACTACCTAGCATATTTTTGCACAGTCCCTTAAATCACTGACATCTGGATGTATCAGCAGTTTGATTTTGGAAATTTCTGCACACATTTTCCATTGATATAAATGGTGAGAGGTAGAATGGAGGATACAGGGGCTTAACAGTGCTTTTTCCAAAATCTCAGGTAAGATGAATGCAAGGAGCTAACTCAGCAATCTGACAAGTACCTTCTCACCCAATGAGAGCCACTGTAAAAACGGAATACAACTTTCCTGCAAACATCAGCTTGATTTACCTGTGCCTTGAACCTGTGACTCCTTTCAAATCTTAACAGAGCATTCAGTGAGATATAAGCACACATTTAGGTGTCTTGTTGATAGCCACAAAGTGACTATAAAAGGCAACCAGACTGGAACACTGACCAAGTCTAAGTGGTGAAAGAAAGTCGTAGTGGCAAACCATGCCTTAGAACAGCTCTTGAAATGTTTTCAGGTTGTAGCAAAGCAGTCTTCAGAAAATGAGAGCTGAGGACTGAGAGGGGAAAGTATTTTCTGTTACACTGAAATTTAGCGTAAGAAAAAGTCTCAATATGTAATGTTGCATCTTGAAAGCTATCTGGAATTTTCCCCTGCAGCATTGTGCAGTGTTAGCAAGAACACTGCTGGTCCCCTAGAGTTAATATGTAAGTTTGTAATACAGGGTCCATGTTTATTTCTAGATAGCTTCTGTTGTCTGTCCTGTACTTCATGCCAACATTTCATATAACTGCTGAGAGAGAGATCTGAACTCCAGTGCTGATGTTTGTTTAACAATATTAAATGTTATTCTGAGCTTCCTGTTACTCAATTCTTCCATACTGTGTTGAGTACACTTTCAACAAAGTTGTGCTGGTATTACAGAAAGGAACATATCATTTGCATTTTAAGACTAATGCATTTTCACACACATTTATGTCTGAAGTTACAGATGGTAACTGGTGTTACTTCAGATGTGGGGGACAAAAGGACAATAATTCCAAGAGTAATTGACCTGGGGAAAAAAAAGATACATAATTATTAAATATTCCATCATACCATGCTGTGCAAAGTGTATACTGTGAAAAGTAGACACAAAGTGTATTAGTTCATCCTCAGACTCCCACTGGATAAATACTTTCAGGGATATCTATTTAACCAACTTCTGTCTGCATATGACCAGGCTACGTTTTGTGCTGTGTAGTCTCTTATGCTAGATGCAACATAGTAGTAAGGATGAAGAGATGCCATGGTAGAGCCATAGCTCTTAAGGAATTTGAGCCATGAATTTTACAATAACATCCCCTTTATCAGAAAACCCCCACCCATTCACCTCTGTGTTCAGGTGGTTTGCCCTTGAAGTAGATTGCAGGAGAGTGAAAAGCATTCAGAAGTTGAAAGGAAAGCTTTTCATATTTCACTGGGATTAAAGCTCCTCCTAAAGATTAAGCACATGTGGACCAAAATGTACTAAAATTGCATGAGACTTTTGAGCAACAAATTTAATATATCCTCAAAACAACTACAGAATGCTTTTGGAAAGTAAGTTATTTTCAAATTGACTTCTCAAAGACTGTTAGTAACTCTCTTAATTTTGTGGCCCTCAATTTTATTCACTGCTGTTTCATTGTCTTAAAGTCCAAAAGTTATGTTTCTGTGAATGGACTGTGAGATAAACACTAAACCTAGAGATGTTCATGTGCCAGGATCACAACTACTGCCAGTAACTGCAGTTCTGTTTTGGAGGTGGTTTTGTTCTTTGTTTTACTTTGGCTTTTTACATATCTAATGATAACACAAGGAAGGGCAGCCAACTAGCAATTTTTTTCTCCCTCAAAATGAAATATAGCCTTCTGCCAAAGTGGATGGAACCATGCTACTTCTCTTCCCACCTGCCTGCAGGAGGAGGTGACATAATGCTGAAAAAGTTGTTGCCATCTCCTGTTTTCAGTACTGTGTCTACAGACATGTGGCTTAGCTGATTTTTTTTTTTTTTTCCATTGGGCAGTAGCTCATTTTTAAAATAACTGTAATTATCAGTATATGTCTAAATAAATGTCTGCAGTTCTGAATACATGATCAGGTACCAGTCTTTTCCTGCTCTTGTGCATTATGTTTGCTATTCTTATCACTGATGTTTGGCTCCCATGCAAAACAAGTCAAACATCTCAAACAGATATATACCTTCTATTTGAACATAAATGTCTGCAGTGCTGGACACATGGTCAGGTACCAGTCTTTTCCTGCTCTGGTGCATTATGTTTGCTATTCTTATCACTGTTGTTTGGCTCCCATGCAAAACAAATCAAACATCTCAAACAGATATATGCCTTTTATTTGAACAGAGATGGACTCATAGATATAAAATGAGCACGAAGGCCTATCTGGTGAGCAAACATGAACATGAAAAGGATTTGATCACTGTAGCAGAATAGGCAGATACCTGCTATGGTGTAGCTAACAGCATTCTGTGACAGGGCGTATCTTCTGGGCACACCCTCAGTTCTGATGCTAGGTCATGCATCTCGGGTGATCAGCCACCCATCTGCAGTTTTACAGAGTCTTCTCTCATTAAAATAAGCATTTTTAAACCAACCAGAATGAGTACTCATAGTGTCAGTGCACCTAAATGATTCAAATAGCTAATTCCAATAAACTCAATTTGTAATTCACTGTCATTCCTGTAGTCCTCTGCTGGAACATATTCAAGACCACAAATTTGCATCCTCAACACCTAAATAGTTTTGCAGATCTGAACTTCATGCCAAAATCCAGAACACAGACAAGAGCGGCCAGAACATGCAGTATTTGGTGCTTACTGCAAAGTGACGGAGAAACACCTCAGACAGGGTAACATGCAGACCTCATTGTTCCCTCT